GGAAGTTTGTTCTGTAGAACGGAGTATCTCACGACTTCTGCCGAGTCGCAGCCGCCCTGAGGAGACGCTGAAAGGTAGCGTGCCAGGGACCTCTTGACCGTAGCGGACCCATCCTCTGCCAAGGTAAAGAGTCGTCACGAGCTTCACGCGAAGTGTACCGCGGGCGAACTGCGTTTGGAAGGAGCGTGTTGTTCTGGTCTACAGACATACATCTTCCTCCGCATCTCCCTTTAAACTCCTCCATATTTCCCATCTTTAAAACTCTTCTATCTTGCCAGTAATTAATCCAGATATCTTCAGAAATGTCTGTTGTTTTTATTAAGTAAAACGTGCCAAGTTTTATTAATCAGAACCAGATCAGTCTAATCAAGTGTACAATGTTTTGATGTTAAATTTTGATTCTGTTCAAATAAATGACCAATTTATTTTGATGGGTCAAAGAAAATTAACGTCTCATGTCACTGGTTAAACCATCTACGCACAGTACCTCTGTCACATGGCTGTAAGTAGCTCGAAAAAGAGAGAACCCGTTATTTTAAATATGACTGTAGTGTAGCTCTGAAGCTAACCTAGCCCGTAGAACACTACAATCTTGATTCAGAAATTGTGGCCAATTATACCTGTAGACCTATTCTAATCTAACATACATCTAAAAAATTCTTGAGAAAATAGTTGCAAACCAATTGTGTGCACATCTGGACATAAATAATCAGTTTGAGGAGTTTCAGTCAGGGTTTAGAGCTCTTCATAGCACAGAAACAGCAATGGTGAAATGTGCTGGTGAAGATTCTCAGACATCCAGGACATGATAAATTCAAAAAAACGTTCAATACAAAAACAACTGGACTTTATTTGTAACAGAAGACGTTTCGCTCCTCATCCGAGAAGCTTTCTCAATTTAATGAGCAGAGAGTGAGAGATTCAGGTTATAAGGCTGAGTGAGATAAAGACAAAAACCTGGATGACTCTTAATTTTCTGTGTTTAAATTCAGACAAGACAGAGGTTATGGTTTTTGGACCTGAGTATCTTAGAATGAACTTTGTATTTTTTCACTTCCTTTGGATGGCATTAATTTGGACTCCAGTTCTAATGTAAAAAAAGCTTTGTGTTATTTGTTTAACAGGATATGTGTTTTGACCCCCACGCTGCATAATGTCACTGAAATTAGAAACATCTTGTCTAAAAATGATGCAGAAAAACTGGTCACGTTTAGTCATTTGTCACGTTTAGGATGACTATTGCAATTCTTTTATTATCTGGGTGTCCAAAAAATTATTTAAAAAGTCTTTGGTTGATCCAAAATGCTGCTGCCAGAGTTTTAATGAGCTGGTAGGGGAGATCATACTGTATTTATCCAGTTTTAGCTTCTCTCCATTGGTTCCCTGTCTAATTCATAATATAATTCAAAATCTTACTTCTAGCATACAAAGCTCTCAACAACCTAACTCCATCTTATACTATTACAGAACTTATTGTTCCATATTTTCCTATCAGAGCACTTCACACTCAGACTGCAGGCTTATTTATTTATTTATTAACCTTTACTTAACCAGGCAAATTCCACTGAGATCACAGATCTCTTTTGCAAGGGAGGCCTGTGCCTGAAGGCAATCTAACTTGTTCCTAGAGTTTCCAAAAGTAGAATGGGATACAGAGCTTTCAGTTATCAGGCTCCTCTCTTGTGGAACCAACTTCCATTTTCTGTTCATGAAGTTGTCTGACACTAAACGACTACTTTTAAGGTTCAACGCTCAAGGTTCTTTATTGTCATTTGCATCACATGTGGTACATGAGGTGGAACACAATTGTGTACACAGGATCCCAGTTACATTCAACAACAGCACAAATATAATAGTAAAAAGAAACTAATAGGATCTAAGATACAAAATAAGAAATATGCTAAACACTAATAGTGCAGAACAATACATCAAACAACTGCTGCTGTTCAGCGTATGTACAGTACTAGAAACATGAGTCTGTGTGAGAAGATGAGTACCAATGAATACAGCAGCATGAAATAATCAGCAGCATGAGATCAATAGCATGGCTAATAAGCAGATATCAACAATCAAAGTGGAATTACATTGATTTTTTTTTCACAGTGATAATTCTGATTAGGGATTTATGAGTTTAGCAGCCTCAGGGTAGAAGATGTTCCTCAGTCCAGTGGTTCTGCACTTAATGCTCCGCAACCTTCTGTCTGAGGGAAGCGGGGCAAAAAGTGTGTGTGCTGGGTGAGTGGGGTCCTTCATGATACAGGTGGCTCTCTTCCTGCATCTGGAGGTGTAAATGTCTGTGATGGTGGGGAGGCTGACTCCAACAAGACTTCTGTGCAGCCTTCACCACTCTCTGAAAAGCTTTTCTTTCTGCAGCTGTGCAGTCTCCATGCCACACGTTGATGGTGGAGCACAGGATGCTCTCCACTGCACACCTGTAGAAGGAGGTGAGGACTGAGCTTCCCAGTCCAGCTCGTCTCAGCCACCCGAGGAAGTAGAGTCTCTGATGAGCTTTCTTGATCAGCCAGAAAGTGTTGATGCTCCAGCTGAGGTTGTCATTCAGGTGCACACCCAAGTACTTGTAGCTGGAGACCACTTCCACCGCAGAACCTCCTATATTTGGGGAGGGGGGGTAGGTGTGTTTGTTCCGTCTGAAGTCTATGACCATCTCCTTCGTCTTCTTCACATTGATGTGAAGTTTATTCTTCCTGCACCAGCTCTCCAGGTGTTCCACCTCTCAGCAATGAAGGAAACCCCACCACCTGACAAGCAGTTACTAAGCCTCGAAAATGTGGAGGTTTGCTGGACACTGAAAAACATAAACACCAGGAAAGCAACAGGACCTGACAACATACCAGGAAGAGTACTCAGGGAATGTGCATACCAGCTTGCCCCAGTGCTGGCAGACATTCTTAACAACTTCCTGAAGCTAGCCAATGTTCCCTCCTGCTTCAAGGCAGCCACAATCATACCAGTGGCTAAAAATCAAACGATAGCCAGCCTAAATGACTATCGTCGCATGGCTCTTATGTCCATCATTATGAAGTGCTTCGAACGTCTTGTTAAGCAACACATCACTTCAAATCATACTCCCTCCCTTGACCCATTCTAATTTGCTTACCACTCCAACCACTCAAACGAGGATGCCATCACCTTAGCCTCCACCTGAGCCTGCAACACTTGGAGGAGAAAAACACCCGTGTACGAATGCTGTTTGTGGACTTTAGCTCAGCATTCAACACAATCATCCCACAGCACCTGGTCAGCAAACTGGCTACACTAAGTTTCAACACCACCTTCAGGAATTGGATCCTTGACTTCCTCTCTGACAGACCACAGTCAGTGTTGCCAGATCTCGCAATAGAAGCAACCAGCTCTATGAAAACAAGCTCAAAACAAGCCCAACTGGCAACCCACCACATTGCGTAAAACAGAGGCCGTTTTTAAACAATAACATACATTTATTATGGCATTACACATAAACAACAGCAAAATTATGCTAAACACTTTGAATAACATACTTTTAAGCACTGATTTAAAAAATAAATTTTGCATATGTAATATTTTTTCTACATATTTTAAAAAGCAAAACATCCTGACATCTGCGTGTAAGTGGAGCCCCCTAGTGGTCGGCCACAGTATGACTGTTTGAGGTTCGGGCCCACAGACATATTTGTATATGTCACTGTGTGCACCTGTCGCCTCGCCAATCAGGGCGGGAGCAACAAACAGGAAACGGGGGCGTGGAAGGGACAAACTACCTACTACCACTCGTCTTTTGCTTTATTGTGTGGAGCTGGGAGATAATCAAATAGTTTCACTCGGAAAGAAAGTCAAGCCCAAATAAACAACTTCACGTTCAAAACACGACCAAAAAAACCCGCAACTCACAAGATTTGCAAGCGACTTTAGGAAAAAACAAGCCCAAAGTTGCTCATAATAAGTGGAATTGGCAACTATGAGTATGAGTGGGGAAGAACAACTCCTCTGTTATCAGTTTGAGCACGGGCATCCCCCCAGGGCTGTGTTCTGAATCCACTTCTGTTTACACTGATGACCTATGACTGCGTTGCCAGGTCTGAGACCAACCATCAAGTATGTGGACGATACCACGGTCATAAGCCTGATTAGCAACAACAGGATCAGGCATGCCGGGAAGAAGTGACATCTTGTGGACTGGTGTGAGGAACATAACCTGGTTCTGAATGTCAACAAAACAAAGAGCTCATTGTTGACTTGAGAAAAACAAAACTACATCACACACCGCTGCTCATAAATAACACAGAGGTGGAGGTGGTGGAGAGCACCAGGTTCCTAGGGGTGCACATAACCTGTCAGCTGCCTTGGTCAAGAAACACTGGGTCCCTAGTGAAGAAAGCCCAGCAGCGTTTGCACTTCCTCCATGCTGCAGAGATCACACCTCCCACCTCATGTCTTCACATTCTACAGAGGAACCATTGAGAACATCATGACAAACTGCATCTCAGTTTGGGACGGAAGTTGCCCGGCTTCCCGACTGGAAGGATTTGAGGAGGGTTTTGAGAACAACAGAGATGATCATTGACACCCCTCCCATCCATCCAGGACATTGGTCTCATATGCTGTCTGACCAGAACAAATAAAATCAAGAGAGACAACTCACACCAACAATATGGATTGTTTACTCTGTTGACCTCTGGCAAAAGGTACCGCAGCCTGAAGACCAGAACGTGACTGCTGTTGCAGACTGTTCTGCAACAGTTTCATTCCACGAGCTGTTCGACTGCTGAACTCAGGTCACTAATGAAGAGACCACAACAGCAAAGGCACACACAGCCACTGACATTCCTATACACCAAAGTCTATTAAATTTATGTAAATTAGGTACTCCTACACTGCTGTGGAGAAATGAAAAAAAAAATCATTCTATTTTGCATGGTGCAGTGTACAACTTTTAATGACAATATTTTTATTTATTTATTTACTTTAAATAAAGATTTAACACGATCATCTAGCTTCCCTAGATGGGGAGGCTGCGACTGGGGAGCAGCTTTCCTACCACCTCGGACCTCTACACATCACGATGCAGGGAGAAGGCACTTTGTATCATGAAGGACTCCACTCATCATGCACACAGTCTGTTCCAGCCCCGAGGGGCATTCAGAGCAGCTATCTGTGTTGAACTCGAGCTGCACTTAATTCAACCTCATCTTACAGTTTTTTACTTTATTTACACGCACATGCACACATGTGTATGTATGTGTGCGTATTGTATATATTTGTACCCTTTTGTATTTATTTATTTGTTAATTGTTAGGCTTCTTGATCTGGGACCTGAGTCTGAATTTCGTACCATAAACATGCAAATGTTGAGTTGGTCTGACAATAAAAAATCCTTGAATGAGCGTTATGTGGTTTCTGAGTGAAAAGACTTGAACTTGTGTCTACCTCTGATACCACACACCCGTCAGACACCAAGTGGACTCATAAAGACCTGTACTGTTTTGCTGAAAGTGAACAACGATTGTTTTACTTCTGTGATCCTTTGCAGTAGGTTTAGACTTGTAATGGTTGCTGTGCTTGTCTGCAGGTGTTTTGTGGGAAGCGTCCAGATGAAGAGTTCCCTCAGCAGGGCCAGCCGAACTCCTCATTTTGTAAACTGTCCCTCACACCTCCATTTTGTCTGGGCGAGGGAGTCCTGTCCAGTCACTCCGGGGGCGTCTCTCCTCTGGACGGGCAGCAGCAGGCCCTGACCTGCCTCATTCCCAAGAAGGACTTGACATTGTTTGAGAAGCTAGGCGATGGCTCCTTCGGTGTGGTGAAGAGGGGAGAGTGGATAACACCTGCAGGGACGGTGGTGAGGAGACACGTGCTCGTCACATTCATGCAGATGTCTGAAGAAATCACTGAGAGATGAAAACAAGAAGCTGTCAGGGAGATTTAACTTGTTTCTCTACTTTCAGCTGAATGTGGCTGTGAAGTGCTTGAAAACAGATGTGCTCAGCCAGCCAGAAGCTCTGGAGGACTTCATCTGTGAAGTCAATGCCATGCACTCCCTTGACCACCAGAACCTCATACGCCTCTACGGTGTGGTGCTCACACAGCCAATGAAAATGGTAGTTGACACAGAACTGCATACACTCAGAGAGGGACACATGAACGCACCTACCTGCACGCTCGAGGAGTGACCACATACTGCTTCCAAAACATTAGCATACCTTGACTTTCCCTTTCAAATCACATATTATTTTTTTATCTATCTATTTGTGTCCTGCAGGTGACTGAACTGGCTCCTCTGGGTTCTCTACTGGACCGTATGAGATGCTCTAATCCACAGGGCCCAGTTCTGATCTACACTCTATGTCAGTATGCCGTGCAGGTAGCCTGTGGCATGGCTTACCTGGAACAGAGGAGGTTTATCCACAGGGACCTAGCAGCCAGGTAGAGTTTCAGCAGCAGGTCCAAATGTTCATTTGCTTAACATTCATTAACATTAGCTTAATCTAAGTCCATGCTCAATAATCCAGGTATACAATCCAACATTTTTCAGACAGGTCAACTGGTCAGTTTCTTTTTTTTTTGTTGTGCTGAAACGTTTCGCCTTCAATCCGGAAGACTTCATCAGTCAAGGAAACGCACAACACAAAACTGATTCTTCCCCCAACAGCTTACTCCAAAGTGGAACAAACCAGTTTGGTTGGTGCTAAGATGGTCTCTTTGGTACGTCCCCTCCTCCATTGCCGGCCCTCTTCCTTGTTGACAGTTGTGTCAAACTGGTTGAAAACAACAAAGTCCATGCTCAATAATCCATCTTAACACCAACCGAACTGGTTTGTTCCACTTTGGAGTAAGCTGTTGGGGGAAGAATCAGTTCTATTTCGTATAGGCTTTGCCCTTTAAGACTGTTGCTAGTAGGTTTATCCCTAGGTGTTCAGCGCAGCACTGAGAACAAGTCAACGCCCACCTGCTGTGTGTGGCCCTCACCCCCGGTCTGTATGAATTACGGTGAGACCGGGTAATCGGTTCCCATTTTTTCTTCAGCCAGCTAGCTAGCACTGTCAGAAGAACCAAGACGGAAAAGTTGTCCAGCTTTGACCGGCACAACCTTTGCTAAGGATGTCTGGGCATCCGCCACACCAACCCCCTGTTGTCCTGGTGAGCTCTTCCTCCCCGAGGAGAAGCAGACGAGCAGCCTTGTTCAAGGTAAGCGCCGAGGAGTGCTTTTCCGTGGTGGGCCGCTACCCGCTGGACGACGCCACCGCCTTTTCTAACGTGTTTATTCCCCACGGTAATCAAATGATTTCCTCAAAAAAGGCGATGTTAGCAGCAGCCCCACTGAATGTTTTTCCGTGAAGGGTCGCTACTCGCTGGGCGACGCCACCGCCTTTTCTAACGTGTTTTTTCTCGAGGTAAATTGGATGATTCCCTCGAAAAAGGCGTTGTCGGCAGCAGCTCCGCTGGATGTTTTTTCTGTGGCGGGACGCTATGTGCGGGACGACGCCCGCAGTCCTCCAGTAGGAGGAGACAAAGAGCTCTCTCTGTAAAGCTGCTGATGTCATCTTAAACATGTGCCACCTCTGCGATCTGCCTGTCCCACATCGCCGCCTGGATGACCATGATCCAGAGGACCACTTGGCTCCGCCTCTCACCATCCTTGTCCGAGAGGTTGCAGAAAGACCTGGTGGAGGGCCTGCCTGTCCCGCATTGCCACCTGGATGTCCATGATCAAGAACTTGGCTCCGCCTCTCGCCATCCTTGTCCGATAGGCTGCAGAAAGACCTGCTGGAGGGCTCTATCACCCCAGAGGCGCTGTTCGGGGCCAACTTCAGGACCATCCTTGAGAAATCGCAGAGGTCTGAGGAGGTCTCAGAGACTGTACACCATCTGGTGACATCACAGTCCATCTGCCCCTCCGGCCGCTGGAGGGACCGCCTTGGCCAGCAACAGCACCAGAGGCGCTCCACAGCTGCAGCAGCGACTTCACGCTCCACTCTTCCGCCGGCTCCCTCTACCAGGTAACAGATCCTTGAGGGGAAGATATGTGTTTTTTGATGATGTGTGTTTTTGATATAAAACAGAAACACCTCTGAAAGTAAATCCAAAAAAGTTCAATCTGGTCCTCTGGACATTCAAAAAACAAGAAAACAAAAAACTAAGCAAAAACATGTAGAAACGTTTCGTCTCTCATCCAAGAGATTTCCTCAGTCTGAGGTGCTGTATTCAGCTCAGTCTCTAAATAGCACCTTCTCAGAGTGGATCAACCAGTTTGCTGCTGACAACCAAAACCAGCTGCTCACATGGTCAAGAAGGACCATCAGCCTAACAATGGATCATTAGCACACTGATGGCTGTTTACTATTCACAGGGGGTTGAGTGATACTAGCAATCACAGCATTGTAAGAGGGGGACAGTTGAACCCGGAGGCCTCCACCCCTGAATACAGCACCTCAGACTGAGGAAGTCTCTTGGATGAGAGACGAAACGTTTCTACATTTTTTTGCTTTGTTTTTTGTTTTCTTGTTTTTTGAATGTCCAGAGGATCAGATTGAACTTTTTTGGATTTTTCTACCTGGATTATTGAGCATGTATCAGGATACTCTGAAAGTAAAGTTTTTCATCTGAGACCTCTGGGTCGGGCCCTCCAATCTGAGATCTCTCAGCTGCCTCTCTTCACACTTTCCCCACACAGAACGAGTCAGTAACCTCTAAACAGCGTTTTAAATGTCACTGCAGTTCAGTAAATATCACAAAACACTCGTCTGCCACGTCAGCTAAATGATGTTTTTTCAGCAGACCAAGTCTGTTAAAATCCCTCGTTTTCAGCCAGAGCCCATTTTTAATCTCTGCTGTTTTCTGCCCACTCACAGCGCAGCAGGAGTAAACGTGTTTCTCCACGACAGCTACAGCCTCCACCAAAACAGCGTCTCACTCAGAAAGCGCTCACGCCTCCTCTTGGTGCGCGCCGGCTCACCTCAGCTCTATGTGAGACCGCAGCCTGGGCCCAGCACAGAGGCACACATACAGCCCTTTTTTCTGTCGGGGCCCCACTTGGGCTCCCCCGGAGAATCTCCGGAGCGAGTGATGGCAGTAAGGATTTTTAGTCTGGTTGACGTTCATGAGAAACATGACACAACATAAATACGTGCCCGGTCTCCGAGCGCTACTCAAAGTGGCAGTGAATGTGTTCCCTGGACAGATGGACGGACCATCTGATCAGACGGGGTTACACGCTGCAGTTTGCAGCTCAACCCCCACCGTTCAGAGGGATTATAGAGACGGTTCTTTCTTCTCCAGAACAGAGCTCGTCTCTCCAGTCAGAAGTTCAGGAATTTCTGATTTCCAGAGTTCCCAACGGAGAGGAAAATACGTTTTTTTTCTTCCTTCCACTACTTCCTGGTTCTGATAAAAAAAAAAAACAGAGGGATGAGATCTATTCTCGACCTGTTCATGTTCAGCAATTCGATCATGGGGAGACAATTCCACATGCTGACAAACAGCTGCAGGAGAACTTCACCAGAACAACTGGTTTTCACCTCCATAGATCCGAAAGGCTCAAATTTTCACATTTCCATCATTTTGAAATACCCCACGCACGTTCTCAAAATGTGTGGAGACGGCTCTGCAGTCGTTACACATGGCAGGAATGAGAAATCTTTTTATCTGGTCGATCTGCTCTTATTAGCTCGGTCCAGTTAGAAAGCTATCGCACAGACCAAAACGCTAGTGTTACACCTGCTAAACCTGGGGTTTTATAAGCTGGGAAAACTTCCATTTGTTCGTCCCAGATGATTGTTTATCTGGAAGTGGAGCTAACTCAACTACAATGAGAACAGTTTATCACAGCTGAGAGCCAAAGCTCTGTCAGCTCAGCTCCGCCGTGTCAAACCCAGTTCTATCGTGTCAAACGACAGAACTGTCAAACGACAGAACTGTCAAACGAGTGACAGTTCTGCCTGTCATGCAACTCCTGGGACAATGTCAGTGGCCCACATTGTGGTTCCACTGGGCCTACTTCACATGAGACGCTTTCAGAGAGGGTTCGCTCGCCTGGGCATAGATCCTGTGTGCCAGAAGAGGTGGATTATCTTTGTGCCCCCC